TTGGAATTTTAATATTTGTTTTATGTAAATAATTTTTAAAAGTTTAAAAAAAAAAGGAAATCCAGTTTCTTTTCTACTGTAGAAATAATTTCAAGTTCCAAAAATACCCCCAGTCATTTCTTACTGTGTACATTCAGTGTGTGTATGTGTGTGTGTGTGGGGGGGGGGGGGGCGAACAGGGCCCATATTGCGCTACTAACCCTATAAGTTAGTCGTTTTCAAGAAATCGCCACGAAAAATTTGGGAAGTCGTCGAGAATACTCCAAGTAGTGCCCCCCCCCCCCCCAGACATTTTTCTGAAAACACGCCTGAAGAAAACTCTGGGAAAGGTTTCTAGCATTAAATTATATTTTTTTGATGGCGGCGCCCCGCAGTAAGGCGGTGCTGTTTGCCACTCAGTTTGCCAGCGGCTATTTTGGCACCTGGGGTCGGTTAATTTGAATGTCCGGCGCAGCGGTCATATTTGCACAGGTGCAACAACCGGAGCCCCGGCGGTCGCGTAACCCGGTGCGCACTGGGATACCCCGTGAGCTCTACAGCGCCTATATTCGTTTAATGAGCGCCATTCACTAAGGATACGGAGGGCTACTAAAAATCGATAACTAAATCGAATAAAAGGTGTCCTCCAGCGCATCAGCAGTAGTAAGATAGCCAGCGGCTACCTGAGTGCAAGGGATCCGTTGATTACGGTTCCTGTATGGTTACTACTCAGTGGCGTAGCGAGGTTGGGTGTCACCCGGTGCGGTCCGCACCCCCCGCCCCCCTCGCTACGCCCCTGGTACTACTAATTCAACGACCAAACTGCAACAGGGGCGGCCTTCGGCGCCTCTGGCTTACAGATGACACCAAGAACAGAAGCACCCCACGGTGGGCCTCTACGTTCGATGATTAAACCGAACAGGGGAAGCATTCGGCTACCTTTGGTAGTGTAACACTCACTCCCGCGACACCCTACCGGAGAATAATTATCGTATACTCAATGCTTTCATACAGCGCGCCCGGGGGCGTCTGACCAGTAGTGTGGACGAACCCGCGCCCCAGCAACAAAGTGGCGTTGTTTACGATTTTAAAATATCTCAGTTTAAGAAAACAAGGTCATACGACTACAAATAAACAATTGGTAACGCGTTGATGAAACCCTTACAAATTGTTTCATTAAACTGGTATGTGGGACTAGATCGCAGCAACGCAGAGGGTTATGCTAGCTACAGATAAACATTCTTTAACATTCCACTGTGATGAGGAGGGAGATTTTAATGTCTATGATGGAATTTTTAAATCTCATTATTTGTTCATTATGATGCTGTTAATTTGTTATGAAACATTGTTATGAAACCCCATTGGGTCAGTAGGTATCCTAAGTATCTAACATACAGAAGCAGCTAAAATAAGTCTCAAGAAACTTATTAATCATTTTTCAAAATTAAAAGCATGAGAAAAAAACAACAAATCTAAATAAATTATGAGCAAAAAAAAAATGTGATAGTGGTGGGTGTTCCCTAACGCGTTTACTAAAAGTGTCACCCTATCGTCCCCAACAACATTGCATTTTCGGTGTGGTGTCACCCCTCTCTGACTTATCTTTTATTAATTTAGCTGGATACAACATACTTTTTTCAGTAAGTTTTACAATGTTTCCTCATGGTGTCACGCCTAAATGTTGTTAGCCGCACCTCTGCCCCCGTTTTGCGACCCTACTTTGTTTGTTTACTTGAAAAAACCCAAATTAACTGTAAGCCTGGAACATTTTTACAAAACTACGGGTTGTAGACCTACATAATAATATAGTATTAATAAACAACTAGGATGTATACAATGTACAGAATATTTATATTATTTAAAACCCTACATCTGAAGTAGTAGTTGATTTCTTCGTTTCACTCCGTTGTAGTCTGACGGCTGACAAGGGGGCCCACTGATACTTTTTGCATATGGGCCCGAAAATCCTAGCTACGCCACTGGTTTAAAATCATTTTAGTCGCAAATTAATCATCAAATTAAGTGTCTTTTTCATATTATTCACCCTCTCATAAAATGAAATATATATATAATAATTATAGGTGGAAAATATAAAATTTATAACCTTTTTTTTTTCAAAAAAAAAAATCGTTACATAATCACACAGTATAGATATTTTACATTTATAACTAAAGACATTCAAGCTTTTAACAGGTAAGTTCCGTCTTGAACTCACCTTGGGAGGTCTGCAGAGAGCACCATTTAGGGGGGTGAAACCAAGGAAAAAATAGCAGAATTATAATTACACTTAACTGAGTGATTAATTCGAGTGTTAAAAAGTCTATTAAAAGCAAATTTGATAAATCCCGACAAGGCTGGAGGGGGATTGGTGCAAATCGAAAGTTTGAGGGGGGAAGGGTGCAAATCGAAAACTGAAAGTTTGTCCCACGATGCTGGGAAGGGTCGCTACGCCTTTGGGGGGGGGGGGTGACACCATTAAGTGCCGCACCGGGTGACACCCGACCTCGCTACGCCACTGACTACTGTAAACATAATTCGCACGTTTCCACTTCTTCTATTACATTTCTATACAACATAGAATCTTCTTTAATAATAGCTCTAGCGGTACGGTTAAACCTAGTGTTTCTTTCATGCATTTCTTTAGGGTGGGGGAGGAGGTTACCCCCCCCCCACCACAGAACATTACACCCCCATCTACTAGACGAATTGAAACAAATATTGCATTTAGAAAGATATAATAAATAAAACGGAAAATATTTTCTTAATGCCCTCACAAGAAAGCTGTATTTGCCCCCCCCCCTTTCCAGAGTGTAAAATGTCTAAATAAAACCTTGCTTACACCATTGTACCGAATTTCTTTAGCTGGGACTAATATAGTCACCACCTACACATTATCAACAGCGCATATGTTTTTTACGTCACTCCGTGTAGGTGAAGTGGTGGTGTGCATGTCACAGTGACGAGCGACACTTACTGTCTAGACACTGACGTCATGAAGTCACGGATGTGCAGCAAACAAAAAAGTTTGCTCTATGAATGTTGTTTCTTTTGTTAACATTGTACATAAACAAATTGTTGTGTAAAATCTTCTTAGCCTAATTACTGGGAAATTAAATACATAACATTAAGGGTCGTCCATAAATGACGTCACACTCGTAGGGGGGGGGAGGGGGTCCGTAATTTTGTGACGGTGTGTGATGAGGGGGAGGGGGGTTCAGATGGTGTGACGTCACTTTTTTTGCATATTAAAAAAGCAATGTTAGAAAACGAGTTTTAGCCGTTATTTCGCGTTTTAGAAAACGGTTTTAATATATATATATATATATATATATATATATATATATATATATATATATATATATATATATATATATATATATATATATATATATGTATATGTATATATTATGGTACGTCGAGCTACGAGATTAATTCGTTCTGTAACATTGCCCCTATTTCAAATCGCTCGTATCTCAAAGCGATTTTCTACATTGAAATTAATTAAAATAGCATCAGTCCTGTCCAGCCTCATAAATGTCACCCCAGTTGTTTTATAACCTTGTTTTTATACGTGTTTCATAATAAGAAATTGTACTTATATATGACAATTATGGTTTAAATAACATATTATATGATAACGCAAAATATAATTGGTTTTGTAAAGTGTATTTACCTTGAACATCAGCCGACTTTACCTTACTGAAAATGTTGGTGGAGGTGTAGGCTAGGCCTAGTGTTGGGTGGAGGCGTGTTAGCTTCGCTTCTTTCACTCACTCACAGTTAACGCTAAGCTCTTTCGGTCACTTTACATTTTCTTAGTTGTATTCTGAACGCTACTCTTTATCCCTAAACGTAACGGGACTTAAATTTCACAGAACATAATTGAACTTAAATTGCTACTATATTATTTCTTACATTCGCTTAATGTCCTCTAAGCTGGTCTTTGTTTTGTTTTTTTCCGCAACGCTTTCCTCACTCTCCATTTTTTTCCACGTAAGCCTCCCCCGAGCTAACTGCTACCCACACTTACTTCTATCTAGATTCCAACACACCTCTTCTACCCCCACCCCTAATCGATACTCTCTTAGACCCCCTCCCCCTCCCCCTCACTCTATCAACCTACTGCTTGAGTTTCCAGAAAACAGTTCAATTAGCTTAATCCTTCTAGACGTTCGTCTAGTCGGCAGAGATTAACTGAAATGCTTTGAAACGGTGTATTCAATTTTTTATGAAAAACAAGCCATTGTTTTATCGAACAGCTAATAAGATACGGGTCGATAGTTTCCTGGGGGTTATAATAATCTATATTATGAAGATATAACCAACAAATAACGAAAAAAAAATGAAATGAAAAGGTTGTTTAAATTATCGCAACCATTGTTTCTATTTCTTCTAGAATTATTTCGCCCTAAGGGAAACTTATCTCTGGCTTCTAAAAAATTAATCCCATTTAGAGATATTTCTTATCCCAAAACCATTAGGTAAGGGTCTACACAAATCACTGTTTTTCAAAGATTTTAGTGTCTGTAAAAGCGTATACAATTATAATTTTCGAAATCTACCTTCCATTTTTCGAGATGTATGCCATGATCAATGAGATTTGATACAATACAATAAGATGGGTTAAAATAATTGAACCAGTAGAACGTTTTAAATTAAATATTTATCATACATTACAAGTATTATACAAAACGGTAAATGGAAAACTATATCAGAACTCTAATGTTTTTCAGACTATTTATTTAGTATAAACTTCTAGTAAAAGTATTTGGTCATAGTTTTAAAAAATTATAACAAGGAACGTGGAATTATATATGCTAAGTCTACTATTTTATAGACTGAATTTCTTTTTAAAAATCTTCTTTATTCTATTATGTACATAGTTTAGGGTTTGTTTTGTTTCGTTTACATTTGATTGAGTTTTTAAGCAAAAAAAAAAAATTAAGTCTGATTCTTAATTAAACGTTTTGTAATACTTTCTGTATTTTACATCAAGATTGATTAGTAATCACACACGAACAATGAATAGAAACGAAAGCAAATCAGTTTACGTCACCACCCAGCCTGGTCTACAGAACAGCGCTGTCAGCTCTATGATCGCAGACGTGCCCTCTGACGTCATGCACTACGTCCACATCTCCCTGGGGTGCGTCCTCCTGCCCGCCCTGGGGCTGACTGGGGTGGTGATGAACACCCTGGTGACCGTCGTCATGTGGCGCCACGGTCTGGAGGAGTCGACCCAAATCTTGATCCTAACCCTCGCGCTCTCGGATTTATTTTTCTCCGCCACTCGCTTGATCGAACACGCGGAGAATATTCTAGAACAGCTGGATATTGTATCGATGTATACCTTAGGTACGTTCTACACCACCTACTTAAAACCACTAACTAACTTCTCCATTGCTACAAGCGCTAATATCGTCGCTATCATGTCAGTTGAGAGATTGATCGCTGTGTGGTTCCCGTTCAAAGCCTCCCGTCTTATTACAAATTTCCGTACAATTCTCGCAATAATCTCTACTTTATTATTCCTGTTCCCTTGGTACGCTTTAGATATCTGGTCATACGATATCAAATGGTACTTCATCAGAGATTACCACAGACCTATGGCTGTGTATTATTTCTCAAAATTCTACCTCGAACACAGTAACATGTACTCCATTTTAAATTCAATAAGGAACTCTGTTTTCGTCATGATTATCCCGCCTGGTTCGATCATCGTTTCATCGATAATGATCACAATTAAATTAAGTCGATCTTCAATCCTTGTGAGACATATATCCTCCAACGCCTACGTGAAAAGAAGCAAAGATTTAAAAGTTGTCAAAATGGCCCTCGCCCTATGTTTCAGTGTTGTGTCGTTGAGGATTATTCCAACTTACATGGTCGCGTTTATTTACTACAGTACGGTACTACAGAAGATTCTGCCTGCTAATGTTGTAGCATTGATAGCATATGCCCAGCAGGTTTTCTTCCAAGCCAGTGCTTCGGCAAATCTTGTGGTCTACGTCAGCATGAGCCCAAAATTTGCTAAAACTTTAAAAACTTTTAGTTAACTCTTCGTGTTACAGATACATGGTTTATAATTTCAACTCTAATGTATAATAATGATTTTTTTAATAATTATAATTTAAATTTATTTAGTATTTAGATTCGACAGTTTTTATGTGATTTTTAAAAGCATTAATACACATAAGTCACATGAGATTTTAATACTAAAAAAAAAAAAAGGCCGATTCTAGTCGGAATAAGATACGCATGCGATACGCATGCGCAATGGAGAGAAACTACGACTTAGCGGCGATGTTTTCGATGGTACTGCGCATGCGTGTGTTTACAACCGCAGAACCCTAATACCAACCCTAATCCTATCCTTAACCCTATCCCTAATCCTAACCCTAACCCTAGCCCTAACCCTAGCCCTAATCCTATCCCTAACCCTAGCCCTAATCCTATCCCTAACCCTATCCCTAATCCTACCCCTAACCCTCATTCTAGCCCTAACCCTAGCCATAGGTCACTGCGCATGCGCAGAACTATCTTTTGCCGAAAAATCTTATTCCGAGTAGACACTTCGTTAAATCGGAAAAAAAACTACATACAACCGCCTTTATTTAAAAATTTAAACATTAAAATTATCTTGAATATTTCAGTTTTGTTATTAGAGATTCGTCTAGGTGTAACGCTTAAAAGAAATCTTTCACGTAAAAATAATCCGTATCAGAGGTTTTTAAACTGCGCTTTATCAAACCCCAGGTCAGTCTTAGGGGTTCGGCGGAGGTCAAAACACACCGAACTTGTATGATTCACAATAGGATTTTATCAGTACAGATATACGATAGAACCATTAAGAAGAGTTCGGTGAATGCACACATATAACTGGAGGGGTTCGGACCTCCAAAGAGATTAAGAACAACAGATGTATTTAGATCTACAAGAATGTTTCTCAAACTAACAAGCAAACAACCAAACAAATAAATAAACATTTGCGTTATCGAAGCTAAACAAATGTAACAAGGCAAGGACTAGAGATAATTTGCTGCTATAGAATTTGTTATGGTGAGTTTTTCCAATTGTTACAAAACTGTTGAAAAGTTGATCTACATGTGTTGTAAACAAGCGGATGTTCCTGGCCTATTGTAGCGTACACACAACCTTCTGTGGACATCATCTTGTTCAGTGCTAGCTCTAACAATGTCATCTGCAAATTTTCAACATCTTAATTAACTTGTCTCTAGCAGGACAGGGGGAAGATTGGGGGAAGAGACACACACGTTTGAAACTGTCTTATGTATTTCTAATAATGAATGCACACTTAGCTTAAAGTATTTTGGTAGATTTAATGGGTTTTTAAAAAAAAAAACAGATTTAAAAAGAATTACGATTATTAATTTAAAAATAAATAAATAATTGTTAGGTATTATCATTTCTAAACAACTGTTTTCACAAACATCGAATGCTCGTTAATGGCCGTATTATTTTATCATTATTATTAACACAATGTTGTTAGTTAATAAAAAAATCTTTGTCTACTTTTATTTTGTGTCTTAGCATAAGGTAATTTTCAATCAAATGTTTTTTACATAGCCACGGGTCAAACGAAGACTCATTGTAAGTTAAAAGCACACTAGTACTTTCCTCAAAGTGCGTCAGGTTGTAATCATAGCTGGATGGATTTAGGGACATTCTATGAACCAGGAACAAAGCACAAGACTTTCTAGTTAGCAGTCGTGTGCTCTACCATTCGACCACGTCGTCCCTTCATCTTTCGTATTTCACATCCTATCCCCAGACTTTAATTATGTTGCTCTTGGCCTTCCAAGTATTTTAGTTTGTGGGAATATAATCTTGGCTTAACTATCCTTACTTATATATATATATATATATCTGTCTCTCCATACTTATGGATGACGTCACAAGATGGGGTACAACCCGATGTGGTAACTGAGGTAGCCACACTACCCTACATGAGGTATGTCCATCTATGTAAAGATCTCATTTTAGACTGATGAAGTAGAGTTTACTTGTTTTTAAATCATTAAAAAAGTATATTATATTATATTATATATCATAAGTATATAAATTAAAAATACTACATAATTAAATTTTGTTTTCTCGAACTAATTAGTAGTTACGCGGGGTACACTGATTACTTTTTAAAATTAATGTCGTTTTTTATTTTAAAGTTATTTATTTCTTTTATTAATGTATTTTAATTTTTCTCAAAACACAGTAGGGTGTAGCCTATTTGTTTAATTTATTTCTCTGTTACTTCTCTTAAAAATTAGAAAGTCACGACCCTTTCTAATTTACTTTTGTGATTAATATAATAAATTAACTCGCAGTGTATGAAGCTTAATCAACAATTGTCTATAATCGAGGTAACGGGCACAACAAAAACAAAGATAAAGTGTTTTAGTATTTAGTAGATTGGATATTTCGTATTCCAATAATTAAATATTTCGTTTATATGTATAAGCTACGTATTTAAGTTAATAGAATTGTACTTGCATACAATATCTTTTACAAAATCTAACTTAATATTTTTTGAGAGGCGCTAATTTCCGTAAAAACAAAACTATAACATTAGCTTTATACACAAGAATGAGTAGGCCTACCAGTGGTGGAACTTGAAAATAAGCCCCCCCCCCCCCCCCACCGCAAAAACAATTTCTGAGCCCCCAGAATATATATGTATATATATATAATATATATATATATATATATATATATATATATATATATATATATATATATATATATATATATGTACAAAAACAGAATACGAACATAGGATATTCATTTCTGGCCTGAATGGGTTTTGAAAAAAATAAATTGCATAAAAAACGTTTTAATAACAAGCTTTTATGTAATAATGCACTAAAAAGTAGAAAAAAAAATGTATACACTACTATTTAAATTACTATAAAGAAAAGCATGGGCCACTTTAGTATCTGTCGATTGGATACCTTTACTAATATTTAGGAAGAGACCCACGCTTTTCTTTTTAGTAATTTAAATAGTAGTGTATAATTTATTTTCTACTTTTTAGTGCATTATTACATAAAAGCTTGTAATTAAAACGGTTTTCTTATGAATGTTTTAGTACTTTACACGTTTTTATTTACAATAGAGTTACATGACTAAAGAACATTGTGCGCCTAGTGAACGTGATGACGCGCTATTGAACGTGGTGAGGCGTGTGGTGTGGTTGGATAGAAATGCCTACTCCCTCCACTAATACGGAAACTGGCTCAGGAGTTGGACTCCCATTAGCCAGGCAGGCCTCAGTGGCCGACACATGGTGGTAGTAGCAAGTCGTTTAGTGTCGGTTTGATCGCAACACGTCGGTCACTTCTCCGTCGGCTCTCACAGGGCTTTCCTTCCCCACCCACCAGACGCGTCCTACCTGGGGGGCATTCGGACACATCAAAAAACTCTAGCTGCTGTTAGCTACCACCAGCCATTCCGCACCCACTAGGGTGGTCGTGAGCTTGGTCTGACTGATGGTACTCTCTCGAAGCCACGTGAAGGCTGAAGCTTAAAGTCAAAATATCTGGTTAGGGTCGAGAGCAGACCTCTTTTGATTCCCGGCAGTCTTGCACCTCACCTCCCCCACGCTATAATGTAGGGGACTTGGGAGTCCGACATTCCAAGCTATTCGAGAGAAATGCCTACTAATTTGGTCAAAATTTTAATTAATTCTTAAAAAATTAATTAGGCATCCAATTAAGTCAAATTCAATGTCACAATGCATTGTCTTCATGTCTTGACCCACGTACCAATTACGAATCGTATCTGTCAAGTAGAAGTGCCTGCAATTTCGCTCGGGCGTGTCGATCTAGACTGACGACAGACTGACGACAGACTGTCGACAGAGGAAGTGAGTTAAATAAAAGCTTGTAATAAAAGTTGTAAAAATGTCATTGTTTGGGTTTTTTTTTTGTCAATTAAAACAAATTACAACAACGTGTGTGTGGGTGCATTATTCTGTTGTTTTTTTTTTTTTTTTTTTTTTATTTTTCCAAATTCTCAAAAACTTTCAGAATTTGATAACTTTTTTTTATATAATAAAATAACTTCCAAAGAAAAAATAATGAGTTAACATTAAAAACTACTTCTGAAAACAAAACACAAATTACATATTACACAATGCAATTTTGAGGTAAAACAAAAAACTACCAATTTACATAGATAAAATTTTGAGGTAAAAAAAAAACAAAACAAAACTACCAATTTACATAAATACAATTTGAGTAAATCTCGTTAAATTAAATTGATCAAGTTAAACGAAATTTAAATTAAATATAAATTGTCCACTAGTTACTTCCAGTTTCGAAAGCTATAATTACCAAGGGAGGTAACCAAAGTATATTACAAAAAGTCTTTAAATCGCAGTGGAATTTAATAATATTAAAACAGATTTGTAAATTACAGTATTCAAAAACGTGTTTGTAAAAAGTATTATAACACTTTTTCTAGCTTTTATTTGTTTTGAGTTTAACATTTATCGTTTAACCCGTATATGGATGTAAAATAACTTTAACACAATAAAAAAGCAAATCCTTAGAGATGTAAATTTCAATGTTTAACTGTAATCCAATAGAGGCGTATATTTGCCATTACTTTTTTTCGAATGTTTAATGAGAGTAATGTTAATTTACTTAAGGGCTGAAAGAGTGATGTTTGGCTTGAGACTGTCTAAATTAAAATTAATACTTTATTTATTGTTTTCCTGGACATAATAATAATTTAGAGAAGTAATTAATTGCTTTTTAATTTGTTTAGTAAAAATCTATTAAAAGGAGCTTATGAGCACACATATTTAACTATTTAAAAAAAGGAAATAAGTCATGGACGTGTTTTGAATGTTAGGCTATCTCTCACACTACAGCTTATGGTTTAAAAGCAAGGGGAAAAAGAAAATACAAGAGCGTGGGATGGTGTCTATAGAATAAAGATAATTCAACCGCAGCTGCAGTATTCTTTTTACAAAACAACCATCAAGTCGAAAATGCAAGAAAATTAATCTTTTAACTATAAAAAATTGATTATG